CATGCTCTCTCTCTCATTCTCTCTCTCAAATAAATAAATAAAATCTTTAAAAAATAAATAAATAAATAAATAAATAAATAAAAACTGACCTTCCCTTAAGGCCTGGTCATAGAAGTGTAAACCATGTAAATGGATCCACCGTTACCAGCTGTCATAACATATCTGTGTCACCTGTGTATTCTGAGATCAGAATATATACCTGGGAAAGGTTGCTATATCACAGTTACATTTTCTTGGCAGGCAGGACTGAGGAAGAGTAATTTGGAACAAGTTTTACATCCTATTTAAAACAAATCACTAGTATTCCCTTAAATAACAGGTTACAGTAGAAAGATACTGCCTGGAACGTGACCTTTTCACTTTGGCTCATTTTTAGTTTTTATTTGTGATTTACATAGTTGTTTGATTCATCTGCTTATAGTACAATCCTGCCACAAAGTATTAAAGCACAAGATACCTATTATTCCTTCAACATCTGCATTTTTCAAGTTTTATACTCTACTACATCCCTAGTATGTCAGCAGTTCTTGAATAATAAAAAATAATAATAAATGGGTAAAACCCTTCTAAAAATGCAGATGTCTGTAACTATAATGGTACTAGATGGGAAGGAGACAATGAGGGAAGAGAAAAAAAAGCAAACACATTCATGTGCAGGGAATGTGGTTCAAGTCTTTGGATTTAAAAACAACTTCCCCAGAGAAGCTGGCTATAATGGAATTTCCAGAAAACTTCCTTTGCCCCCACAAATGGACCTGAAAAGCCCAATCCAAACTTTTGAAAACTACAGTTATGAGATGCTATAAATGATGATCAAAGCAGCTGGAGGGAGAAGGATGAATGTGTCTTCCACTCAGCTAGTTTGTAGCATAGCCTCTTTAGCTGTTGGTGGATCAGTAAAAACCACTGACTTACCAGAAGTGCTTTGAAGGACAGGGGTAGAAAAGTACTGAGCATATTACCTGTCTATATCAGTAACAGGGCTTCATGGCTAGGAAAATTTTCTAAACAGTAAAATGACTCCAGGATAGATCTCTCTCTCTCTCTCTCCATCATTAAATGTGGCAGAATTTAAAAAAAATTTTACAAGTAGATATAGTGAAAACAGAAAATTACAAGGCAGAGAACACAAAAGAATCAAGACGACGCTATAGATTCAACAGTATTCCACGAGGCTAGAAAACCTGTTAGCTCTGAAAGCCCTAGCAAAATATCACTCTTGTTTATACATCACTTATTTATCACATGACCACATGTTGAATCCTTTCTTTCCACATACTGAAGAATCCTACATTCAGCCTTTAAGCATTCTGCATTTCTTCGCCAATCTTGTAGCTGAGTATCTTGTTCCAGTCGATTTTGGTGCGGGTAACCGGAAGCTGCCGGCTCAAGGCCTTGAATGTGGTGTCTGACATTGTTTGATAGTTTTCACTAATTGCTGTCTGATATTCATCTTCTGCATGCTCTATGATTTTAATAAACTCCTTGGCAGTTTGGACTTCATTCGAAACAGTTACTGAATCCTGTACATCTTTATGGCCAACCAACTGAACATTGCCATCTTCATAATAGTGAACCTGAATCTTAAGTACTCCAACCACCTGGGCTGTAGGTGGTGTGATGGTGAACTTCCACTCTGATCTCCAACGACCATTCCAGACGTTTTTAGGCTGAAACTGGTGGCTTTCAATACATGCGATAATGGTCTGTTGCCCATCTATAGTTTTAGCATAAACAGTACAGAAGCTGTTCGAATAATGATCTTTCACATAGGCCCTTAGAGCACTGTCACAGGATTTTCTCCAAGACTTCAGATCTCCATCTACGTCCTCTGGCTGGGGGTCACTTGCTTCTTTCCGTAAGTGATCAAACTTAAAGGAAATTTTGTTTCTTGGATCTAAAAATCTGCTATTCCCCAGATCACCACGTTCTGTAATTCAGGCCTGATCCTCATGTCCTTCTATCTTCACAGGCGTGAACTGATCCATGTTATACCAGGCAAATGCATGTGCTGCCCCTTCCCTGAGGAGACCGTCATTATTAAGTAGTAGCCGGACATCACTGAACACTTCATTAAATTCCCCTGGGGGTGCATGAGTGATGAATTTAGCAGCTATGTGTACCTTCTCCTCATCCGACACCCGTTCCTCGAAGTCGGCCACCTTGGGCTGCTCTGGCCCAACCCCGCCAAACTCCCACATTTTTAACCCGAACAAAGATAATAAGAGTCTTTTTAAACTCTTCACCTTTATCAAGGATGGCAAATTCAAATGTGTAAGGCCAGGCCAGTAATGCAAGTAAGTAAAACAATCAGGGGCTGCTGGCACCACACAAACTTGATACGTGAAAGGGTGTGCATTCCAAAAAGTTCATAATCACGGGGCAGCTGGGTGGCTCAGTTGGTTAAGCATCGGGCTATTGGTTTCAGCTGGAGTCATGATCTTGGGGTCATGGGATCAAGGCCCAGATGAGATCCCTGGCTCAGCAGGGAGTATGCTTCTCTACCTCTCCCCCTTACACTCCACTCATGCACACACGCTTGCTCGCTCGCTCTCTCAAATAAATAAATAGATCTTTAAAAGAAAAAGTTCTTGATCTCAAGGATACAGTGATGGTGCTGGTGCTGGTAGTGATGGTGTGTTGTGTTTCAGTATGTTTTGGAGGGTTGGTTTTTGTTTAGTTGGATTTTGTTTTGATCTGTTTTGTTTCACTGTTTTGTTTTTGGCTTTTGCTTGTTTGGGAGATTGAGTTTTGCCTGCTTTATTTTATTTCTGCATTGAAAGAAGTAATTTTCTTAATGGGGGTGGGGCATTCTAGTAAAATTAGAAGATATATTTAGAAATTTCAGGAGACCCCTGCATATAAGAATATTTAAACATGTATTTAGACTTATTTAAACCTTTCTAAGAACATCATTGTTCTAGCATTTTCTTAATGATATTCATTAAGAGAAAAAGATCCCACAATATCCTGAAGTAGAACATTCTAATCAAGAAAAAATGAAACTCGGGCGCCTGGGTGGCTCAGTCGGTTGGGCGACTGCCTTCGGCTCAGGTCATGATCCTGGAGTCCCGGGATCGAGTCCCGCATCGGGCTCCCTGCTCGGCAGGGAGTCTGCTTCTCCCTCTGACCCTCCCCCCTCTCATGCTCTCTCTATCTCATTCTCTCTCTCAAATAAATAAAATAAAATCTTAAAATTTAAAAAAAAAAGAAATACAAAGTGCAAGGTGCCTGGGTGGCTCAGTCGGTTAAGCGACTGCCTTCGGCTCAGGTCATGATCCTGGAGTCCCGGGATCGAGTCCCGCATCGGGCTCCCTGCTCGGCAGGGAGTCTGCTTCTCCCTCTGACCCTCCCCCCTCTCATGCTCTCTGTGGGATCAAGTCCCGCATCGGGCTCCCTGCTCAGCGGGGAGTCTGCTTCTCCCTCTGACCCTCCCCCCTCTCATGTGCTCTCTCTCTCCTCTCATCCTCTCTCTCAAATAAATAAATAAAATCTTTAAAAAAAAAAAAGAAAAAATGAGACTCTGAGACAATGCTTATTTATTCTATATTTACTCACACTTTTTATTTCCACCTGGCCTCAAAGATATTTGGGAAAGTGTTTTATAATGTCTGTTACTGGTTGGAGTTTCTGTTTTATTAATTTTTAGTCTTTTTAAAATGTACTTCCTTTAAGATTTATTTTAGATGATTTTAATAATACTATGGTTACTTGAAAAGAATATATATATATATATATATATCAGAGTAACCCCTGTTAGTGATGCTGTTTAGATTATCTTTCTACATTATTTATAACATAATTTGCTTTGCATATTTTGAAGCAATATTATTTGGTTCATAAGAGTTCATGACAGTTATATATTTTTGACAATAATTTGTTTTATTAACATAAAAGGCCCCATAATCTTATTTAGTCTCATTTAATTGGCTCCTTAAATTCTATCCTATTATATTTACAAGATCACCTGCTTTTAATTTGTTCAATTATCTGATATCTCTACACATCCTTTTACATTTAAACATTTGCTTCACTTTGTTTTAGGTCTACTGTTTTTCGATAGCATAAGGTTGGATTCTGTTTTCTGACTAGGTACGAAACTCTACTTCTTTTAATGAGGATATTTTATCCCATTTATATTTATCATTGCAACTGAGCTGGTTGTTCTTATTTTTATCACAGTATTCTATGCTTTCTTGGTGCTGATTTAGTTTTACGTCTTTTACTATCTTGATTCTTCTTTTCCATTCTATGTTCAAATGGTTTTGATTTACATGCTCTGGAGTTCCGGAAATTAGTTTGTTTTTTATTGCACTAAATAATCTAATACCTCTGTAAATAATTCTTTCGCCTATATTTCTCTGTCAGAACCAAGAGAATACTGTATTTTTTTCAGTTGCCTCTATTTGAGATAAGAAATGAAGCACATTGCACATTCCTTCTTCCATTCTTTCAGGTCTTTTTATTAATATCATATGGACTTTAAAAATCCAGATTACTGTTAATTTCATATTATATATTCCCTTTAGAAAAAGACTGTGGGACACTTTAAATCAGCTTTTTTTTTTTCACCTCAATCCTGCTTTTGCTGCCTTCACTGTAATTGTGAATGCTGCAAAGGCATCCCAGCTGTGAGCAATCCTCTCTCGACTCATCGAGCTGCCTTTTCATCTTACTCAGCTGCCTTTTCCCTGCAGCTCTTTTTCACTTCTGGCTTGCTCTCCTGATTCATAGAGGTCAAGTCCTCTTGAACTATTTCAGGAATGTCAAGAAGCCTTATGGAATTTTCTTCCGAGTTCTGTGGGAGATGATTCTTTTTTTTTTTTTTAAAGATTTTATTTATTTATTTA